CCTTACTGCCTCTCCACATGCATAATCCCACCAGAGAGAAGTTAGGCGATCTGTGTGTATCCCTGTAGACGAGAGATGCAAGTAGATGCCGCGCAAATGATACGAGAGGTCACATCAGTGGCAAGTTCTTCAACTGATACTGGTTGTACCAGAGTGCAGGGAGCAGCACTTCCAGAGAATGTTTTCAGGGTTTCAATGTTAATTTTCCATCGTGGAACTGGTGTCAAAGCAAGCATATGGAGAGGAATGACCGAGGATGCAGCAATAGGATAATGATCACTTCCGACATCTCTGAGGCGATCCAGATGAAAATAAGGAGAAACCTGCTGAAATGAGAAATAAATGCAGGCAGCCACCTCTCCCAGTCTGCCTGTCAATATAAGTATGGAAGTCTAATCCATTGAGGAGCGTCAAATTTGTTGTCAGTAGTAATTGCTCAAGGGAATGTCCTGTAAAATCTGTTCTTGTGCATGTAGAAGAAAGCAATGGAGAATGGGCATTGAAGTCACCAGTAAGAATATATGGGGGTGTAAGCTGATCTATATGATGTGTGAATTCCTGTAAGGTTACTGATGCATTTGGATTGTACAGATTAAGAATTGACAAGTAAGTACCAGAAGCCAATCGCAACTTCACAGCCTGCCGCTCCAACACTCCACCCCTAAAGTGATCCAAGTGCACCTCCCTAAAACACACTGATTGACGAATCAAAATACATATGCCGCCACCACCCTGTATAGTTCTATTTGCCCATAGACAGTGATAGCCATAAAATTTTGGAAGGTAAGCATCTTTCACCCAAGTCTCAGTGAGACACATGATGCTTGGCTTCAGGCTGTATAACAGTAGTTTAACTTCTGCCAGGCGTGCATAGAGACTGTTGCAGTTTAGTGTCTCTACAGGTAATGTCATCAAATCCATAGGCGTGTTGGCGATTTCTGACTCCTTTGATGGGTATTAGGACGCCTAACCTTCTTTGCAGTATCAGTAACAGAAGTCAGAATTTCTTTCTCCTTTTTGCCTTCCTTTCCAGGGCCCAAAACCGGGCTAGGAGTGGGAGGTGATGCTTCAGACAGCAGACTGACTTTCCTTTTCTTTGGACCGCGACTCCTTCCAGGAGACGTAGACATCCACTCCCACCGGCACCATCTTCAGTCACCTGCACCATCTTCACCCGACATGTCCGAATCAGAGACCAACTTAAAATTGTCAACTCCCAGATACGAGTCAAGATCTTCAGCGCCAGAGCAAACTGCATCTGGATTTGGTGATGCCACGGCTATATTGAGTGCTGTGTCTACAGGTTCTGCAAGAGTCTCCGGTTGTTTTCCAAGAGCAATAGAGGTCAAGCAAGAGTCAGGAAGAGTCACTCTAAAGTGCTTTTGGATTGCTGAGTTTATTAGTGATCGAGACTTAGCTGGATATTCTCTGTGCAGAGGGAGTGCAATCAGATCTGTCAGACAAGAGAAAAATTCTAATGATGGAGCAAAATTTTTCTGATGACAGGCTGAAACACATGGAATGGACTGACGGCTGGATCTATCACCAATATCTTCATCCGAAGACCAACTTGTGACAACTTCACTGTATAATGGAGAAGAGAACCCCTGAAGTGGACTATCCAAGCAAGAATGAACCTCAGCTGACACTCTCATGTTTTGCTGCTTTTGCATTGATGTTCTATAGCTTCTCTCCTCTCCATATTTCACATGTTTACCTCTCGCTCCCAGACCTCCCCTCTCATGTACAAAAGTTCTACTCAAATCTTTGTTTCTTGATCTGGCTCTTTCTGCCTGCCTTGGGGCCCTCACACACTCTGCCCCGTTTGCCTTGTGTGGACCTCCACAATTTGCACACTTAGGGTGTTTATTCTTGCAGTCTCTGTGGTGGTGTTCTTCTGAGCATACTAGACACCTTCTTCGACTGGTGCACCCTTCTGCAGAATGTCCATATCGTTGACAATTGTAGCACTGTAGTGGCGGGAAGGAGTAAGCTCTTATGGAGTAAGAGATGTAACCAAACTTGATGTTTGCAGGGAGTTTCTTGCCTTCAAAGGTGACTCGAATGGAGGTGGAAGGAATGCGTTTACCATCCACAATTCTAGTCAGCCGTTCCATTTTAACAAATCTACTTGAGCCTGGGACTTGCACCCTCCTCTCCATTGCTCCAATGTCAGCTTCCACATCTACAGGAGAGATCACTCCATAGGAAAACCTTCCTTGATTGGGTTCACAACAGGAAACTTTCCATGGCGAACTGTGCTAGAACTGTGTCAGTTCTAGCAAGCTTTCAATGGATTCAGCACTACACTGGGGAGACTTGGTCAATTCTATGGCTACTAGACCTTTCCGTCTTTTCACTCGGACATCCTCAAGTTGTAGAGAAGCAAAAGGTGAGGCCTCTAGTGCTGAGCATAGCATTTCAGGTGAAGTAAGCATCTTCCTTGAAGCCTTGTCAGCGGGGCGGATAAGAATGACTAGTTCGCCGGTAGAAAAACTAGTAGGAGGTGGCACTGGTACATCCGTGATCAGAAGCCCTTTACTGGGAATTGGACCTAGAGAAGAGTCGTTAATCTCAGAGTTAGTGAGATCATCTTCGCAACATTGCCTCAATTGTGAGTTGGTTAATCCATGAGAATCGCCGGGATCAATTAGGTCGGCTGAATCTGCACTCCGAATAATAGCATTCATTTCACTGAATCTCATTTCTGCAGTTGACGGCCTGATATGTTCACAGCAGCACGATCCGTTTTCGACGTCTTTCCAGCACGAGTGACAAATCGAAACTCTAATGAACAGGGTCTGACCAGCCGCTGATTTCGTGTGTCATTTGACCCTTATATTTTTTCCCATGAAACTATCCAAAATAGCTCCTATTTGGCGGCTAAATAGAAGAGGCGGCCATTTCGCATCTGATTCATCTCTAATCCGCGAGTCGCAACCGAAATCGGAGAGACAGCCGCGCGTAAATTTTGATAGGGATAACTCAACGGAATCGCAGACCTCGCAAAGCCGGCATTTGAAAATATTTCAATAACTGCTGAGTCTGAGGCCGAAGGCATCGAGTTGATGACATCCGCTTAGTCTCTTGGATGAATATGTCAGACTCGCATTGATTTACACGTTTTATATTTAATTAATGTCGTCTCCGTATTGCCCAGTTTCAAATTATGTTATCAATTATCCCGCTTCATATAATGTGCTATTTCACTCCTTCCCTCGGCCTTCCCCATCCCCCCGCTTACTAACCATTCCCCCCACGCAAAATGGCTGCTCCTACACATCCTACTTACTATTGTATTTACCCTCCTACTTACTATTGTATGTATTTTTCCTACTTACTATTGTATTTACCCTCCTACTTAATATTGTATATACTCTCCTTCTTACTATTGCATTTACCCTCCTACTTACCATTGTATTACCCTCCTACTTACTTCTGCATTTACCTTCCTTCTTACTATTGTACTTACCCTCCTACTTACTATTGTATTACCCGCCTTCTTACTATTGTATTTACCCTCCTACTTACTATTTTATTTACCCTCCTACTTGCTATTGTATTTGTCCTCCTACTTAATATTGTATTTACCCTCTTACTTACTATTGAATTTACCCTCCAACTTACTATTGTATTTACCCTCCTACTTACTATTGTATTTACCCTCCTACTTACTATTGTACTTACCCTCCTACTTACTATTGTACTTACCCTCCTACTTACTATTGTATTTACCCTCCTACTTACTATTGTATTTACCCTCCTACTTACTATTGTTTTTACCCTCCAGTTTTCCATTGTATTTACCCTCGTACTTACTATTGTATTTACCCTCCTACTGAGTATTGTATTTACTCTCCTACTTATTATTGTATTCACCCTCCTACTTACTATTGTATTTACTCTCCTACTTACTATTGTATTCACCCTCCTACTTATTATTGTATTTACCTCCCTACTTACTATTGTATTTACCTTCCTACTTACTATTGTATTTACCCTCCTACTTACTATTGTATTTATCCTCCTACTTACTATTGTATTTACCCTTCTACTTACTATTGTTTTTACCCTCTTTCCTACTATAGTATTTACCCTCCAACTTATTGTTGTATTTATCCTCTTACTTACTGTTGTATTTACCTTCCTATATATTTACTATTGCATTTACTCTCCTACTTACTGTGGTTTTCACCCTCCAACTTACTATTGTATTGATTACCCGTATTACTGTTGTATTTACTCTCCTACTTACAATTGTATTTACCCCTCCTACTTACTATTGTACTTATTCTGCTACCCACTATTATATTTACCCTCCTACATACTATTGTATTTACCCTCCTACTTACTTTTATATTTACTCTCCTACTTACTATTATATTCATCCTCCTACTTACTATTGTATTTACCTTCCTACTTACTATTGCATTTACCCTCCTACTTGCTATTGTTTTACCCTCCTCCTTACTATTGTATTTACCCTCCTACTTACTATTGTATTTACTCTCCTACTTACTATTGTATTTACCTTCCTACTTACTATTGTATTTACCCTGCTATTTACTATTGTATTTACCCTCCTACTTACTATTGTATTTACTTACCTACTTAATATTGTATTTACACTCCAACGTACTATTGTACTTACCCTCCTACTTACTATTGCATTTACCCCTCCTACTAACTATTGTATTCACCCTCCTACTTACTATGGTATTTACCCTTCTACTTACTATTGTATTTACCCTCCTACTTACCATTGTATTTACTCCCCTACTTAGCTGCATGCCGCTCTGATGGCATGAGCTGCATGCCGCTCTGATGGCATGGGCTGCATGTTGCTCTGATGGCATGGGCTGCATGCCGCTCTGATGGCATGAGCAGCATGCCACATTTCTTAACATTATACAAGCAAGAAACCAAAACATTTCGCAAGCTGGAGACGTCATACAGGCTTGACTCACCCAATGAATCCCCACCCACTTGTGATCCCCCAGGCTGCGGGAGGTTCTGCTGTACGTGGTGGCGGCCCTCAGCAGGGACAGCCCCCGCCACCTCACGCGGCGGTGGCCGCAGCTGAAGGAGGCGCTCTGCTACGCCGGCGTTACTCGCAACGCTGTGATGGCCTGCGTCGCGAGCTGCCCTAACGCGGGGATGCTGGGCGACCTCGTCGGCGACGGAAGCAGCTTGCACGTCAGAGAAGGTGTGTGACGTTCATTAGTACAGTATAGGTACAGGTGCAGGTACAGATACAGGTGGTACAGGTACAGGGTCAGGTACAGATACGTGTACAGGTACAGGTACAGGTACAGGTACAGGTTCATGTACAGGTACAGGTACAGGGACAGGGACAGGGACAGTTACAGGTACAGGTACAGGGACAGGGACAGTTACAGGTACAGGTACAGGTACAGATAAATATACAGATACAGATACAGGTACAGGTACAACACAGTACAGGAGTACAGTACGGGTGTACAGTACAGGTACAGTACAGTACAGTACAGTACAGTACAGATACAGTAAAGTACAGGTACAGTACAGTCAGTACAGGTACAGTACAGGTACAGTACAGTACAGGTACAGTACAGTACAGGTACAGTACAGTACAGGTACAGTACAGTACAGGTACAGTACAGTCACGTTGTGGTTGCCCGCAGATCGCCATGTTGATGCAGCCGTTGCAATGTTGAGCCTCTCTAAGCCTGATGCTGTGGAGGTTTACATGGAGGCCGCGGCCCTGAGGGGGGCGCCGTGGGGGGCGCTCGTGGCGGCGGCGGGGGGCGCGGGGGTCTGGCTGACGCTGTCCAGCCCTGACGCCTACGAACCTCACGACGACCTCCTCCTGCCGCTGCACGACAGCGGGTAAGAACCTGTAGGTGCAGGCAAGAACCTTACAATAGGTGAGGGAGTAGAGGGGAGAAGCTGGAGGGGTGGCACGGGGATTCTTGGCGAATGCCGTCAGTGGCCACACCCCCAAGCCCCGCCTCCCTCCCCACACCCCCACCCTGACCTTCAGACTTCACAGAGGGTGGGGGTATATGTTTAATTAGCAGAAAATTCTGTTAATAATTAATGTGATCATAATATTTAACATGATAATAATAAATCAACAATAATTATTGTGGCTGTTGTCCATTATAATGCATTGCTGGTCCATTACAATGCATTGCTGGTCCATTAAAATGGATTGTTGGTCCATTACAATGGATTGTTCCCTGGCCCCTCCTCCCCCAAGTGGCCGCTCCCCCCCTCCCCTCCGCCATCGCTGACCGTGGAGGGGGCGGATGAGGGGTCCTGGGGGGCCGTGGCCCACACCATCACCTCCCTCGCCCCCCCTGGCAAGAGGTGCGTAGCCCCCCGACCCCCGCGGAGGGTAATAGAGTCTGGGGGAATGAAACAATAGTTTGTGTGTCTGGGGGAATGACACTGCAGTTTGTGTGCCCAGGTTCAGGGCGCTGCAGCTGCGGAGCAGCAGGCTGAGCGCCGCGCAGCTGCCGCCGCTGCTGTGGGCACTGCACTACGAGGACGTGAGGACGGACGACGAGGGCGACACGTGCGCCTGGGTTTTCGGGACGGCGCGTCCACTGAACTGGTTGAACACAGTTCAGTGGACGGCGTCCACTGAACTGTGAGGCAATATTCCTTGATTACTGAATGATATAACGACTATATATAGACTACACTGATGCTACTGATATTTAATAATATTTTTGTATATAGGCTACAAATAAATTATAGATGTGCAATTGCAACTGATGGCCGCCGCAAGTGAAACAAAATGGCGTCCGATGATGACACAGCGCCAGTCATGGGACACAGCGCCATCATCACGACAATCATTATCATTTGACATCATATAAGAATAATTATATGTCGTCCTTATTGCTAATCCTATATGTTAATCCTGAGTTCTTATCAATTATGTGTAATTTAACCATTTATTATGTAATCATATATGATTATATAGAATTAATTGGAATGATTATAATATAGGATTAGAATTATGTATAATTTTATTATATTAAATAGTATATATAAAATATTATTTATATTATGAAATATGATATGACATAATATAATATAGTATAATTTAATGTAATATACCTATATGTCATATTATGTCATATTTGAATCCCCAATTATATTCTAAATAATATACGTTTAAAAATTACTTTTTAAAGACAACACTTCTAAAGAATCCAGTGTCTTCAATGTTACAGATGTACAATGAATTTCTAATTTTATTTTCGAATATTAAAAAATTAATTTTTCAATTTTTTTATATATTTTTTTCAAAATTATTTATTCTGTCAATTGATTAATGCATTGCCTCCGACTTCACACAAGTATGCAAAATTTCAGATCAATTGGACAGGTAAAGTGTGTCAAATATCTATTATAAGATTTGTAGCTGAGAAAATTATTTTGTAAATTTTTTTAATATTGAAAAAAATGTATTTTTTAATTTTCAAAATTATTTATTCTGTCAATTGATTCATGCATTGTCTCCGACTTTACCTAAGTGTACAAAATTTCAGATCGATTGAACAGGTAGAAGTGTGTTAAATATCGATTAAAAGATTTGCAGCAGACAAACAAACAACAATTAAGAAGTGAAGTTCAAGAGAAGTGTAAAAATATTTTATATGCATTATTATGCATGATAATATCATACATACTTTTAAACTATATTATAATTATTCCAATATATTCATTCCATATAATTCTATGTGATTAGATTGAACTAATATATTCATTATAATTATCTTATCTTTAATATATTAACGATAAGTTGATGGCGCTCTGTCATTGGTTGCCATTTGTCGGGCAATGATAGCGCCACACAAGATGGCGGCTGCTGGCATGCCACATGCCACATGCCACGCAGGATATTCATTGCCGCACTCCCACAGGTATGGGCGTGTTTACCTCCAAATCACGCACCGCGTTCCCCTGGGGGGACCAGCGGTGATTGTTGACTCGGACGAGGAACACTCTGACGAGGAACACTCTGACGAGGAACACTAGGACGAAGAACACTAGGACGAGGAACACTAGGACGAGGAACACTAGGACGAGGAACACTCGGACGAGGAACGCTAGGACGAGGAACACTAGGACGAGGAACACTAGGACGAG